CACGGAATGTGAATTGGAAATGATTATTAGTTTGACAGTTAATCATATATGAATAGATATTCTAATGCACACGTTTCTGATCCTTGTTCCTGTTGTTCAAAACATTCTTAAAGGTTTTTAGCAGTAATGCTTTTCAGATGTTTCTTCTTTTAATTTCTAGTATGATCCTTATTCGTATGAGGCGGAAACTTGGGGACTTAAGCAATCATCCAGAAGAACATGCGGAACATAAAACAACTATCAACCAACTCGAAAGTCACAATTTTCAATACAAATGTCAAGACTTCTCCTGTATCGAGCGGAAACTTGTTGTACTAACAAACCATCATCCAGAAGATACAGGAGTTCATTAACAGCTGTCTATGCAAAATAATTCGGATTCGTTGGCTAGTCATCATCAGCAACAACCTACTGTGGGACAGAACAAACAGGATTCCAGCAGAGGAAGAAATCAGGAAGAAGCTCTGCAGGTGGATAGGACATATATTGATGATTGCGTCACCATCAGACTGCGTCAAGAGACAAGTCATCACCTGGAATCTTCTAGGCTAAAAGGGAAGAGGAATTCCAAGGAACACATTTCTCTGAATATTGGAGACAGACATGAGAATAATGAAGAAAAACTGGGCCGAACTAGAAAGAAAGGCCCAGGTTGGAAATGCTAGTCGACGGTCTATGCTCCATTGGGGGAAACAGGCGTAAATAAGTACGTAAGCAATGATCTTTGTTCAAAACTGAATTTTCCAAGTTCAGTTTTATCATCAGTCATAAAGATATCAAAAAAGATACTCAATGTTTTTATCAGCACAGAATGTTAACGTTTATCCTGGTCTTACATGATACTTACAGTATTTCTGACCCTTTTTAAAATAACTGACTCATCTGAAACGTGATATCTTCTTCAATATTCTATCTTTAGAAATGGATATAAACATTTCATTAGTGTCTTAAGAGTTTTTTTTCCTAAAATATGATATAGCTCAATGTGTATACATTTGATTCACAAACAAACCATATTTATACACACACAAACATAATTTCATTATAAGTGAGTGAATCAGTACAATAGTTAGTATGAAACTTAACACCTTTACACATCTTTGCAGCATCATCGACAATCAAGGTGGATCCGATGCAGATGTGAGGGTGCGGATTGGCAAAGCAAGGGCTGCATTTCTACAGTTGAAAAATATCTGCAACTCCAAACAACTTTCAACCAAAACCAAAATCAGCATTTTCAATACAAGTGTCAAGACAGTTCTACTATATGGAGCGGAAACTTGGAGAACTACGAAAGGCATCATCCAGAAGATACAAGTGTTTATTAACAGTTGTCTACGCAAAATAGTTCGTATTCGTTGGCCAGACACGATCAGCAACAACGAACTGTGGGAGAGAACAAACTAGATTCCTGTGGAGGAGGAAATCAGGAAGAAGCGGTGGAAGTGGATAGGACACACATTACGAAAAGCACCTAACTGCGTCACGAGACAAGCCCTCACATGGAACCCTCAAGGCAAAAGGAAAAGAGGAAGGCCAAGGAACACATTACGCCGAGAAATAGAGAAAGATATGAGAGGAATGAACAAACATTGGACAGAACTGGAGAGGGAAGCCCAGGACAGAGTTGGCTGGAGAAAACTGGTTGGGCGGCCTATGCTCCATTGGGGGTAACAGGTGTAAGTAAGTAAGTAAGTAAGTAGTATGAAACTAACATTTGAAACTCAAAACAACTTTCAACTAACGCCAAAGTCACAATTATCAGTGTGAACATCAAGACAGTTCTATTGTATGGAGTGGATGCTTGCAGAACAA